CAGTGTTTCATATCAGAAAAAATAAGGTACCTCTACTGTGAGGACTGTCAACACACGATTGTACAACTGTCATTAATCAAATCTGGCAACAATAACTGCATTTATGTAAGTCCCAGACTGGTAGATTACACAATGAAAATCACCCCACTTCTAGCACAATTGCCTCATCAAAAATGGCTTTATGCTGGTTTCTTTTTCTGCTCTTGTTTTTAATTAAAGCCAGCAATAATATTTAACAAAGAGTTACTTATCAAATGTGTAACTTTACAAAGCAAATTATTGTCTGAAGGAAAACATGGCCCATTAAGGAAAGCAGAGACTGATAGTAGAACCTCATGCGAATTGTTCCCCCAGCTACAACTGCCTCCATATGTAGCTTAAGAAAAGCATTTACTCATGTTTTGCTTTAGGATGTCTAGATGTAGAGCTAGAAATACTTAATTTCTAGGCTTTGGAGTGAGTTGGACATGATTTCTTAAATCCAGTCCTTATATTCCTGAGCTTTTACAGGTAAGAGCAAATCATGTCCCAGCAATGGATCTGCCATTTCTCTGGTCGCAGACCATGAATGTTCAAAAAGGTACTATGGTGTGCTTGCATGTCCTGAGTTTGTGGCACCAAGACTTGAGGCTGGGACCCTGGTTCCATCATGTGGGAAGAGGCAGTAGCATCTGCATCTGATGGGGCAATGACACTCCATGATTGTAGCACAGATAGACAAGGACCAGTTTATCTAAAGCCTTGAGGAGCATGGAGCAATATTGTCATCACTTTCTAAGTGGCAAGCCATTAAGCATTTTCAACCAGTGGCATGTTGTAATCAAAGTTATATTTATTGGTCAATGAATTTCTGTTGATGCTCTTTATTTACTTTGAAATACTTAGGTTACAAAACAGCTATTATAATCTATGAGTTTTCATAGATAATCCAAAATTCAAAGGATCATCTCACAAATTCAAGAATGGAAAGATTTTGTTGCAAATGATAATTGTTTGAAGGAAAAGGGAAGTAAGGAGGGGAGAAATGGAAAGGAAGAGAGAAGCAGCCAGGTTTGGAACAGGAACTATTTCCCGGGCAACAAAGAAACTGAAATATACTGGCTTCAAGGAGGGGCTTTTTGTGTTACAAAACCATAATGAGACAAGGAAGAGCTTCTGTTTCTATCCATCCTATGATCTGTGGAAGACTGTATGCCCTTCTGGCCATCAGGGAGCAGTTAATGCTGAATTTGTTTTATCTTTTTTCGATTATTTTTCCTTTTTCTCTCTTGTTTATTTATTTATTTATTTATTTATTTTTGGAACCCAGGCTTGAACTCAGACCCTTGCACTTGTCAGGGAAGTGCTTGTTCTACTGAGTCATCTCCCCGGACCCCATCTCTTGTTAATTTCTTGCATTTTCTTTCTTTCTTTCTTTCTTTCTTTCTTTCTTTCTTTCTTTCTTTCTTTCTTTCTTTTTTTCTTCTTCTTCCAATGTTGTATGCATTTATCTGGTAATATGAACAACTAATTTGAAGACAACACTATGCAATACTACAAATACTGTGAGATTCATATTTTGTTTAGTGAAATTTTGTATCTTTTGCAATTTTTTTCTGCTTTAATACTATTTTGTGCTCCTTCAAAAATAAAAATTAAAAAAAAAAAAAACGTCGTCCTAACTCTTTTTCTAGCCCAAGGATGTTAACTTGCTAGGAAGGGACCTGGTGCTGTGTGCATTTGCTCCTGCAACTAGAGGCAGCATTGGGAGACTCTTGACCCATCCACAATACTGCCTTGTTTTTCTTTTTTGTTTCACAATCTGCATCTGAAAACCTTGTTCTACAATTCCCAAAAGATAATACAATTTCCTCATAATTCATTCAATTTTCCAGTGAAGAGCTGTATCTTTGAAACTTATCCTCTTTATAAGTAACTAAGATTAATTCCATTTATTCATGCTGAGCAATATTTTACTTTTAAATCTGTGTATGGAAAAAATCTGCTATACCTAATAAACAAAAACCTTCAAAAAATAAGATAAAATATAATGCTACTATTTCTATCCCTTTTTAAACCTTCTTTAGAAAATGAGCAAAAAAATCTGAAGAAGTCATATTTCACAGTTATTTTTAGGCACAAATGTTATGTGTTCTGTAATTTTTTTAAAAAGGACGTTTTCTAAAGTAAGAAATGACTATCCTCTGTGCTGTTGCCTATATAATCTCTTACATGAGTGTAAATTACATAGTTACGTTTCATGTTAGCACTTCAAAATTAAACTAAGACTCGGTGACCAGTATGCACTGGATATTTCAAGAAGCTAGAAGAAAATATGGTAAATATTTTAATCATGAAGAAATGATAAATGATTCTGCAAATAAATACATTTAATCTGATTTAAATGTTACCCAATATATGCTTGCATCAAAACAGTAAAGCATTTGGGCTGGCCAGATAGCTCAGCGGACTAAAGCAACTGCTTAGGCAGCCTTAGCAAGGAGGATTCAGTCCCTGTTGTACCACGCGGGGCCCCCTCCAGACCCATCCCTGGCCCCACCCCTGACCCTGCCCTGATCCTGCCCTTGAACTTGGTGATTAGGTGATTGAGTCTGGGCATGGTGGCACACAACTGTAATCCCCAGCTCTGGGGAGGCTTAAATAGGTGGATCATTATGAGTCTAACCTATATAGTGAGATGCTGTAACAAATATATAAAATTTAAAAGACAAACAATGATTTGCTCAATTTGGTATACCTAAATCTATTAATCTGAACAGATTTGACAATAAAAATGTGTAATATAAAAACTTTGTTGAATTTTTCTTCTTGTTTTGAAACTCTGTATCACTTGTACTCTCACTTATTATTGTGTTTTTGTCTGTTTCTTCTTTGTTTTTACTCTTAAAATAACATTTTTAAAACTTGGAAAAAAACTGACACAGAACATGTCATTTACTGGCTTATCAAATTATTGTCTACAAAAAGGCAATTTCTAATTCAAAATATTGTTCTGAGGATGCTGTAGACAATCTGTGCAATCCTGTCTTTTCAGTAATGAGGCAATACATGAAAATTTGGAGTGATTTTGGAAATGATGTAGTCTATATAACTTTTGTTTACTTAGAATTAGATTTTTTTCAGAATTAGATTTTATGTGTACTTTGATTTAAGAAACTTTCAGATCATTAAGCTCATTTTATCTCTTTTAGTGTTTGAGAAAACTCAATTTTAGAATAATAAAAAGACAGTCTAACTGGTAACTACCAGCAGCATAACTGTAGCCAGGAATTCAGCTATTTTTTTTTTTTTTTTTTTAGATGGATTGGAAATACTGCAAAATCCATTACTTTCTTACACTGTTTATAGGTTTTAGGGTTTTGGCTATGTATGTTGTCCAGAAGATAAACCAATTACAAGAAAGTTTATTTTACTTATATATTATATCACATCATTGCATCTGAAGCCTTCATCAAAATCACTCTTTCAGATATACATTTTTTAAAGTTTTTTTTTTCTTTTTTGTGCAGGGTCTCACTGTGCAGTTCACATTTAGAGTGATCCTCTTGATTTCTGCCACCCTAGTGCTGGGATTACAGGCATGCGCTATCACACCCAGACTCCATCACCAGCTCAGCATGCCTGGGGGCAGGGCCAGTGCAGCAGGCAGTGCCAGGGATCCAATCCTGGCCCCTGTGCTTACTTACCTAAGCAAATGCTTAGTCTATTGAGCTATATTGCCAGCACTCAGATGTACATTTATTGACAAAGTCAGAAAATGTTACTATGTTTTTGCCTTTTTGCATCTTAGTTTAGTACTTATTCCATACTGTGAATGTAGCCCATATGAAAACCCTAATAGGTAACTATGGGGGAATAACAGCCTTGGATATATTTGGTTAGGTTTAATATTAGCAGGACACAAACATGCATTCAACCAATATTTCTAGTAGGCATAATAAACAGCGAATGTGAACTGTGCTTTTTGTGCTACTTTTAATCAATTAATATGCACTACCTCACTCAACGTGCACAGTCATTCTTTTAGGACAGATGTTATTAGCACAGTTTTGTTTAGCAGGAAATTGAGATCCATAGAATTCATTTATCATGGTCGTCTTCCCAAGTGGAGAAGAAGGCCAACTGCATGAGTAAAATCTGACAGCTGTGCTCCTGAGTCTGTGACTCTGAACCACATGAGTCTGCTGTGTTTGGGGACATAGACGTAGCACTTAGTGAAGCAGGCAAGAACGAGGCAATGCAAAATGTAAGTGCAGGATCATTATGGTCCGTGGGTTTCAAGAAGAAATCATAAGTTGCTAATATAGGAGTATTTAAATAGGAGTAATGGATAAATATTTTCTAACTAATTATAGTAAATAAGAACAAATATGAGAGCTAGAGACAAAGCTCAGTGGTTGAAGTGCCTGCCTGGCAAGCTCAAGGACCCAGGGTCAGCCCCTGGTACTGCATACCATGCTGGGCCTGAAACTGAGTGTGGTGGTGCACACCTGTAATCCCAGCGCTAGGGAAGCTGAGACAGGAGGAATTTAGTAGTTTGTATCTTACAGTCTGATGAAGCCAGGCTGTGTGATTCATTTAGCTAAATGTAGAAATAGAATATATATCCAATTATGGTAGTCTTCTATGGAGCCTAAAATTGTTTTTGTCCCCAAAACAATACAATATATAACTGACCAAGAACCTGAAATGTAGACTACTGTCCTTACCAGTAAGGAACTGCCAAAGAAAGATCCGAGTGGTCCTGCCTTTGCTGTAACATAGTAACAACTGTACAAACATAAAATTTGGTAGTTGATGAGCAGTTAGAAATCAGGAGTGAAATTAGTGATCATTTTTTAAAATAACTATGATCAAAATATTGCACTTTTATGGTTGAATATTGCTTGTGCGTGTATTTTGCTTTAGGCAAATTATAGCGTAAAAAGAAGACGTGCAGGTTAACACTGTTGTCTCTAGGGTCAGTGCTATTTAATGAGGCCAGTTTCTATTCTACACAGGTATGACATCAGAGATGATTACACACTGAGAATTAAAAAGGCTCTGAGTACAGATGAGGGCACCTATATGTGTGTGGCTGAGAATCGAGTGGGAAAAGTGGAGTCCTCTGCCACCCTCACTGTCCGAGGTAAGAGAGTTAAGTTACTAAATATGATCCAATTAAACCAAAAGTCTAATAGTTCAAGTTGGTAAGTGAGTTCGCACTAAGAATAACACTGTCACATGAAAAGCTTAGATTTTGTGAATTTTCGTCATTAACTGACACCAAATGACTGGGTTTCCCAGTGTAGTGTCCAAGGGATGATGGTGATTGAAAGTCACTAGCTCTTAGTAAACAGTAATGTGCATGGGTGAAATAGTTTGTACTGCTTAAAATTAAACTTTAAAACACAGAAAAGAGGTACACTACTGTTTTTAACTTCTGTTCCTTTCAACTGGTTACTTATAGTAAATGTAATCAGTTCCAGTGGTAATCAGATATTTTCTGCTCAACCGTTTATCACTTTGTACTTGCAATTTGGCATTCAGAAAATCAATGTGAAAAAAAAAATAAGGGTGAAAAGAGACATGAGAAGCCTCTGCATATTGATAATCTGACTTAGAGAGTGATTCATCCAATTCACTGGCTCCAAATAGTGGAAATAGTGCTGCTCTGGTAATAAGTTTCACTTTCTGGGTGTGGTGCACTTCCTCAGTTCTGCAGTGTGCCCTTATAGACTCTTTGGAACTGCTTATAAGTGAAAGAAAGCATTACTAAACCCTGCGGGGCACTAGAATGACTTACCTGTCTTCCTGGTGAAACATGTTGGTGGCAGGAAGTCAGTTATATAGTGCAGAAAAGCAAGTTGTGCCGTGAGAACAGTGAGCACTTGCCCTTTCCAGATAGACGTTACTGTGGCATCGTGTGCACCCACAGGACTTCAAACAGAGACAGACAGTCCGTCCCCATTATCCTTCAGCTTCCTCAGCTAACAGTGCCTCGTCCTCTCATCCTGGGTAACAAGGAGCGTAGTGGCCCGTGTTCCATGTTCCTCAGGCAAGCCTTCCATTTGCCCTAGCTCAGCATAATTTCTACCCTTGGGAAGCTTTGCTCATATAAGTTTTTATAAGATTAGGAGAAGAATTTGGAGAAGTGCAGAGCTGCAAGAAATGTATCAGGAATTTTTAAAAGATGCTCCTCCATTTGGTAAGGAAAAAATGGCTTCTGAGAGACCTGAAATGCAGGCTTCAAATTATGCAGAATGTATTTGCCTGTGGGTAACTCTTAACACACAAGTGTCGCACTCCACAGACATGGAAATTACTGTTGCATTTTTTCAATCTTTTAATTCCTAATTGAACTAAGCAATTATTTTCTGCTAGACAATAGAGCGTGAACTTCAATACAAAACAAATACAAACAAAATACAAAAGTTTGTTGCTTAAAAACATTTTCAAAGAGCTGGGAAGATAACTCAGTAGAGTAAGTGCTTGCCTGGCAAGTTCAGGGTCCTAAGTTCAATCCCTGGTCCCGAAAAAAAAAATTCACTCCTCATTAGATATATCATTAAGGTCTATGATTATATATGAATTGGATAGATAGATAGATAGATAGATAGATAGATAGATAGATAGATAGATAGAGAGATTTTTATCTGACCAAAACATAGCAGCTCCCATGAAGCAATGAACACTATTTAGCTTATGCACTCTATGTTTTTAAGTAGGCAGCTATTTGCAAAACAGTTTACCTGACCAAAATATCTCAAATTTTATGTGTGTGTCTATGGGTTTCTAAAGTGAATGGAAAAAGTAACCCAGTAAGACATTTTCAAAGAGCTGGGAAGATAACTCAGTAGAGTAAGTGCTTGCCTGGCAAGTTCAGGGTCCTAAGTTCAATGCCAAAAAATATTTGCTGACTAAGCACATGGTGTACAAATGTGAGGCGATGTCTATGTGTGAAAGGACAAGGGATTCTTTTAGACTTGGACTCTTGGATGACTGAGACTTGGAGGGATCGGCTGGCTAGAAGAGCTTTCCCTGTTGTTGTCATGGTTTGTTGAAAGCTTCAAGCTTCACATTTCAGTTAGCAACCATGCTCCTCATACTTAAATGTTTCAAACTGACTCACAAAACCAATAACTAAAACAGTGTTTATTGATAGTAACTTAAAAAAATCAGCACATCTTAAAGGGTTTCACCGCTAATCTATAGCCACTAGGTGGATGAGAGCACTCACTATATGTGGTATAAATTGATCGCTTGTCTAAAACTGAAGCCCCAAAACCAGGGTTAAAGAAAAAAATCTCAAGAATGAAATATAATGTAGAATAAAATATTGTCTAAAATATTTTTTACTGTTAGGAAGTAAATCAGTTGGGATTTCTCATCTTGGGAGGTTAATCATGGAAAATTATCTACTTCCTTTTTTCTGTGAGTTTTTTAATGCACATTGTAAAATCTTCAGACATCATTGTACAGATTTAACAGAACACTGCCAGCTAGCCAAAAGGTAATGTCCATTTTCAACTTTTTAATGAAGGAACACAGCTTAGTTTAACTTGCTGGTTTGAAAACATCCATCTGCTTTTTCTTCACAATAAAATGCTACTATGTAACAAATTTCATTGTGATATTTCTACTAAAATTGCATAATGATGTTCCCTTTAGCTAACAGAGGAAAAACTGAGGAAGTTTTATAATCAATATCTGAAACAGAAAAATCATATGCTGTTTTCCACTTGAAAAATATCATAAAATAGACCTTAAAATTAAGATTGCCATCAAGTAGCTTATCTGTGCTCATTTGGTGAACAAAAAATGAAAAACAAACAAACAAACAAACAAACAATATATATATATATATATATATATATATATATATATATATATATATATTCAACAATGAACCAAGAGCCTGAGATATAGCTCAGTGGACTAAGCACTTGCTTAGGTAAGCACAGGGACCAGGGTTGGATCCCTGGCACCACATGCTGCACCAGCCCCATCCCTGGGCACACTGAGCTGGCAATGAAGTCTGGACATGATGGTGCGTACCTGTAATCCCAGTAGGAGGAAGGCAGAAATCAGGAGGATCACTACGAATGTGAGCTGCTTAGTGAGACCCTGCATAGAAAAAAAAAAGAAAAGAAAGAAAAGGAAAAAGAAACCCTGCTATTTATTCCCTAAGGGAATAATTCACTAATGGAATTTTTAAAAATTACTCAAAACAGCTTGAACATTGCAAACTACATATCTATAAAAACAATTTTCTCCATTTTGCAATTGTTTCAGTAGTTTTACATAAATGAAAACCCTCCTGAAACACGTTTTTATAAGAAAGTAAAGTCTTAAACATTTATTCTACAATGAATAGGCAATTTATTTATTTCAGCATGATTTCTCATTAGAGATTCTTCTTTTTTGTCTGTAAGATCACAGACTAAAATTCAGCATTATGTAGCAACTACAATAGTACCAATTGCAAGGTGAGAGGCGAAGCCCATTTTCTGCAGAACATTGAGGAAGTATGAGACATCTCATCAATTAGAATAAGGCACTACTTTATGATGTTGATGTTATCTTTTTCTTTATAATTAGAGACATTGTACCACTGAGCTAAAGATTGTCTTATTTGAGACAGGGTCTTGCTAAGTTGCCCAGGAAGGACTCCAAATTGTGATTCTCCAAGACTTTCACCAACATAGGGGTCATTTTTTTGTTACCTGGTTTCTACCCTTGAAAAAAAATGGTACATTGGGCAACATACTTCCTTTTTACTTCTGCTAAGAAGTACACTATGTCCTATCAGACATAGTAGGATTTCCATAATCATGAATTTTTATACTACCACTACAATTGCCTTACCTTCTTTTTTTCTATTTTCTTAATTGTGTGTAAAGCTACTGTAAAAGACCACAACTTTCAGAGAAAGGCAGCTATACCATTATTTTTAGAGATTATACAACACTTACATTACAGTGTATAAGTTGAGTGAATGAATATGTATTAATATGTTTCCATGCTGTATCTATTTTGCTATGCCCCAAATCATCATAAATTAAAAAAAATGTTTTTTTTTTACTAACTAGTAATAAAAAAAACCGTTTCTTTATTACTAACCATCCATTGTTCTGGGGACACATTATGTCATACTAAGCCTACATCCACTGTGATGAGAGTGAAATATTGCCCTGGTAAAAAAATTTTATATTTTGAATGTAAGACTTCATGAAAACTCAGATAATCTTAACTGTATTTCTCCTTCATTTGGATAACATGGGTATAAGTTTTATAATACCCATTACTTTTATATAAAATTATTGACTGCATAACATGATTTAGCATTATTTATTTAAAGAATTATTAAGCTCATGATTATCTCTTCCAGTTTCTGTATTTTCATAACAAGAGCAGCCTATTCCTACAGTGTAATAAAAAATAATTTTTGGAACAGAATTTTGAAAGTCATTTCTTAGTATGAATAAGAGTCAACTTGTCAGTCATTGTGTCCTGACCTCTCCAGCAAAAAGCTTAGCAGTAGTTAGGGAGCTGCCAAGTTGAAAACTAAGGATGTTGTAACCTATTTGTCATATTTTTATCCACTCTGTCCACAGATGAAAACTGATGTGATCTTAACTTATTACTGACTCAAAACAGCACTGGGGGCTTTTCTGTAGTCCTTGTAATGGTTCTGACCAACCATGCTTAAAATCCAATTGCTATTTAAATCAGACAGAGGCCTTCTTTTATTGACGTGACATTTCCCAGTCTGTGACTAGAATAGTTATATTCAGCAGGTTCTTACCTTTGGGGTAACACAAGAATATTTAACTCTAGGTCTTAGAAATGATACCTGTAGTAACTACTGATGGCCCTGAGACTTGACCTAAAATATCTCTCAAATTTCTTATATGCAGTTCTGCACTTTGAAGTAATGATTTTCTTAGAACTGTATTTGTAAGTTTCAGCTTAATCTAACTCTGAACATTCTACTCATGGTTGAATTAGGAGACTAGAAATCATTCTATTGTCCATACTTAAAGTGGCATTATACATCATGCATTCTGATAATTTTCTTTCTTTTTTAATTTCTTTTTTTTTTCATGTTCTCACCACACCATTGTAATGTCTACAGCTCGCCCTGTTGGTAAGTAGCCATCCTTCTATCCATTCAGCATGGCTTTGTATGATGCTTCACAACTCATGCATATAAGTCCTTGAAAGCACTAAATGCATTCATTCACCTGTGTTAATGTGGAGAAGCCATCTACTATACAGTTGCTTCTGACTTTGTCATCCCTTTGAAAAGTGATTTCTGTAATGATTTCACTACATAGGAAACAACAAGTACCCAATTTTCATGAAAAAAAAAAATAGAAAAATGATTGGTCTTATGAACTGCTCTCTGAAGGCTAAATTATATATTTGTCTTTACCACTGTGTGCATACCATCATAAATGATTGGCATGATTGTTATCAGTTAAGGTTAAAAAGTTTTGAACTAAAATTAATAAGCTTGATTAACTGCTCACTTTTATTTTAAAATGTGCAGACTCACAGCTCTTTGGGAGTGTCTTTACCTGCTCTGTGTGCTACTTATTATTGGCATGTCCACTTCAGAAAACTTTCATAGAATGCTTTAAGTTATTATAAATAGATTCTTGTCCTCAGTGTGGAAAGAAGAGGAAAACATCTTGTTTGGCATGAAAATTTAGTAATTGCTTTCTTAATGTATCTCATTCTCTATTTGGAATTGCAAATTTGGGTAGCTTACACTTACAAAAATTTCAATAATTGTTTGGAAACATTGGGATGATGAAATAATTTCAAATTTATTGATGTAACAAACCTTCTGCAGTGTGTTTGAAGTTTAATTTAATCCACCAATAGTTTAAATAAAGTAAATCCTGATAATTGTGGTGTAAGTGAATGAAGAAATGAATGTATTAATATGTAACTAAATGAGTGAATGAATTCAGCAGATTGATTCTTTAACATGGAAAAAGATATGTTAGTAACTTATTCAATTATCAGGGGTGTATAAATTGTCCAACAGAGTTCTAAAGGTTTATGAATGTACTGGCTAGATGTTGTTTCCACTTAACCTAATTGGTTGAAATATTCACAGATATTATTATACTTGTGTTTTTATATCACTAGCAATTATAGTAAATAAAACTTTGGATTCCCAACTTCAAATTCTAGCATGTAGTTTTTTATAAATTCTGTTTTCTAACTACTATTTGAATATCCCTAATCCTCACTCACACCATCTATAAAGTGGAGAATATAATATTTACTTATCAAAGCTGCTGCAGAAATGGATTGAATTTAACATTTATTGTGTGAAAAATGTTTTGTGTGCCAATATTTTCCAATGTATTCCTAAGTTTTGAGACATGAACTTTTTGCATTTTGATGTTTAAAGTATATTTATGAAGTAGCTTAACTGAAACATTAATTGCAAGAAAATTTTGAGGCATTGTTGTTGAATCATGCTGTTTAAAAATCAGTGCTTAAAGTTTGAGGACTGTGTCATCATCACTGGTACTTCTCATTTTCTTGCTTGAGTACCAGTTCCTATTAATGATAAATCTATATGTCAGTGAGTCGACATTTAGAATGAAGAAGAAAATGGGGCAGAATGAAATGATACAGGAAAAGATGGAACAGAGATAACAGGCTACCTGACTACTCTATTAGATTGCTTCTTTCAGTTTCTGGAAACTAGATTTCAGGCACAGGGATTGACTCAGTTATGTGTCAGAAAGGATGTATTTTATTATATATACTTAATCATATGATAAAATGTAAGTGGGGAGATTTATATATAATGAAATTATAGATTATATCTCATAAAACATTAATTGCAAATAATAATGACAATCTTACTCTTTCTGGAATTCTTGATAACTAAGCAGCAAAGAAAACATTACAAGTTCACCAACAAGTTATTTTAAGTTCCTAAACTTACAATTTTATAATTATTAAAACATAGATGATATTTGTCAATAAAAGAATGGCTTTAGGGGAGGGGAGATAGCTCAGTGGTCTGAGTGCCTACCTGGCAAGCGCAAGGACCCAGGTTCAATTTCCTGTACCACATACCATGCTGGCCATATGCCAGGCACATGTTGCCAGCCACCAAAAGTGAATGTGGTGGCGCATGCCTGTACTCCCAGCACTGGGGAGGCTGACACAGGATGATCACTATGAGTCTGAGCCACATAGCAAGTCACTATACCAAATACATAAATAAATAAAAAAGGATAAGAATGGCTTTAGGTACCCTAGACTTCACTTGTTTTTGCATTGGCCTGAAATTTTAGTAATAAAAAAACCACTTGAAACAGAAGAAAAATCACATTTAAAATATAGATCTCTCCATAGAAAGCTTAAGTAATACACTACGATTGCTTCATTTGCATAATGTTACATGTTCCCAGCACATACATAATACAATAAAAATTTCTGATCTATTTAAGACTACTATACAAAGAAAAATACTGGGATTAAAGTGATGTGATTTTTAAAGGTATTAAGATGTATCTGTCACCTACAAGGCATCTCAAAAGATTTTTTTTCTAAATTTTATTCTTGTTTGAAATGATTTCTTAAATTCTCATTGGACTGAAAATGAAAAATAGCTACTTGACACATTGTACTTTATTCTTGGGAAGTCTGTCATTTCACAAATCTATCTCAGATGACTTATGACAGCATTCAGAAATATACTTTAAACTTGACAACTACTATTAATATTGGAAATGACTGTTAGATATATTTTATTGGATTATGAATGAAGAAATTGATAATAAGGAAGCTAGCCAGTTGTTTCTCTATATCAACTCCTGGCATCCATATCCTTCAGAAATATAGATATTTAAACATTTATTTAAAAAAAATTTTGGAAGTCAAGTGATGAAAATCAAATGATGTCATGAATTAAATCCAGTTTTTAATTCCAATATTAATTTGGTGAGGAAATCTGTATGACATACCTAAAGAAATTTCCATGTATTACATAAAATTAAAGGCCTACTAACAATGTTAAGCTTTTGAAAGAAAATTTGCAGAACCACGAAGTGTCTGGAATCCTCACAGATTCAGGAAACAGTCAATATGTCATAAGAGTTGAATGTTTCCTGTATGGAAAGCCCCATTTCAATATTCTTCAGTAAATCCCATACTCAAAGTTCTATCCAACTGGAAGGCTCAGGAGCTTCAGTTGGGTTAAAGATGGTGCAACTGCAATTCACAGCTGGATTTAAACACTCTAAAATGCAGTTTTGAGAGTCTGTGAAATATTGATCCAGATATTTCTCAAATGGAAGCAGTCAGTTGCATACTTGCAAACAAAGAAAACCACAGATTGCATTCATTCATCTGTAGTGTCATCAACAACTAAAGAATCCTTTAAGACAGCTACTATACTTTCTAGTTCTTACAAAATCTACATTAATACCACTTCGATAATTAGAAATGCACCAAACCTTCCTGTGGTTCTGGCAGTGTATTGTTCCAAAGGCATTCTTTATATAAAAAGCCAAACTGCCTCATGTATAGTTAACTATGAATGTTGAAATATTCATTTGTTTATTTGGAAAACTCTTCTGAGGGAGGAACTGACAAGAAAAAAAAAAGTCTAAATATGGATAAATATCTTACTTCCTATAGCCATCTGTCTTATTTTTCTATCGGAAGCCCTTCCCAAGCTTAAAAATAAAAAAGAACATCTATTTTGGAGATGGGCAACACATTTTTTCCTAGCAGCAACTCAAAACATGATGAGTAATTTGGAAAAGAACTGTCAAATCCACCAGCTGCCCTGCTTGCGATGCTGAGCCCCGCTCTGCTTTGTATCTATGTGCCATATGCTAACTGCTGATCCCTTCAAGTATAGAAATTACAAACTGAGTGCATCAGGTGAAATTTGCTAAAAATATCAAAAACAAAGTGCCAATATGAAAGTTTGAAGAAATTTCTATGTGTTTCCCAATCCTGTAACGTTAAAACATGTTTCATTTGGATAGAAAAATATCTGTGCCTGTGCTAGAATTGATAAACAAGTATTGAAAAATACATATTCTTGGCAAAATTCAACATCCTCAGATTACTGAACAGAAGCCTTCATATTTTTTTTATAAAAAAAAGAAATCTGTAGGGACATATTTTAATGGTTCTACTGCTAAAATACAAAAATAAACATATCCTCATTTTAGAAAGTTTTGTCTTATGAGTTGATGTAGAGTTTTGCTATAACATTCTGTAAAACATTTTGTTCTTGAGGCTACAAGTTCAGTAAAGACAGTGATTGAAAAATTCATCTTGACGTATTAGAAACCAGACATTACATTAAAAATATGATAGACATTCCCACAACTTTTATCTCCCACTTCACCACAAAATTAGAAAACTTCAATGTGTTGCTCCAATTTTAAATGAATATTGAACCATTCTAGTTGCCTTTTTTTAAATTAGAAAGTATGTAGTCTTTGTGCATCCTGCTTAGATGCACTATCTGCAAAACTTGTTAGGAGGTCAACCTAGAGCTTTATTTCTTGCATCCTTTGCTGGACAAACTGTTGCCCACAACCTGAGGTGCTCCCCTCTTTCCTGAAAGCACTTAATGTTTCCTGCACCTGGCACTAATTAACAACATTATGCAGAGTCCCAATTAATTATTATTAAGCATCACATTATTTTCATTGCTCCATATGGTTTGATTAAATGATAGGCCAGCCATGCTATATTCACCCCTAGCTTGTGTATTCCAGAAGTTTCCACAATGTGAAATGGTTGAAGTATCTGAAGCTAACAGTAACTTTGAAAGTGAAAAGTGGTGCCGGCTACTCCCCGTGCTAAACTGATTTTGTCACTGTGTGTTGGTGATGCCTGCCCATTGTCATCACAGGAAAGGCGAAGGAAAAGAGCATTGTACTTGATACTTTTTTTTCTTTGTTTTCTTACAACCTGGTGAAAAGGATGCCTTATTTTGCTATTGAGTGGTTCTGTGGTGAAGTCTGAAGCTCCTAGAATACTTTTTTCTCCTTGGGTTGGGATGCCCTTTTCCTGTCCTTCATATATATTTGTAGTTTTTTCCTTCTAAATATCTTTTGTTGCCTTATACTTTATTGTTGGTCATCC